AGCTGGCAGGCGCCGGCAACTGAGAACAAGCAGTCAAACCTGAAATGCTTACGGCCGCCATGCCGCCATAGCCCTAACCCTGATCCACTGAAAGTGCCCTGGAATGAAGCTCATTGCCAGGAATACCCAGAGGGACATCAGCCAGTCCCTGCAGGTGCTATGACAAAGCACTGGAGTCCCCAGAAGGTGTCACCTAGTTCTTGATCTTTCCCTGCAATGGCAGGGATAACAACACCGCACATGACTTGGTGTCACCACGCTTTCACTGAGCACGGGCTCCCCAGCTGGGCACAGGCAGTCCTCACCGCACACGAAAGGTGCTAGGACCCCACTGTGTGGAGCCCAGCACAGAGAAGAGCTAGCCTGTCTCTGCTCCCTTCCAAGACATCCTTTTGAAAGTTCTGGGTTCCCTGACAGTAATCTCTCCACAAATATCTCCTCAAATGATTTCAGAATAAACCCTACAAGGTAACAGCTCACTTTCTGTAATTCTAAGTCCTTCAGTCTCAAAGAACCTCCAAGAACTCAAAGCACAAGCACTAAATAAAAGACAAGGGCTGGCAAGATAGCTCAGCAGACTAAGTCCTTGCTTAGGTAAGCTCAGGGGCCAGGGTTCAATCTTGGCACCAAACGCCACGCCAACCCTGCCCCCAGGCGCGCTGAACCAGCGATGGAGTCTAGGCGTCGTGGTGCATGCCTGTAATCCCAGCACTAAGGAGGCTGAAAACAAGAGGATCACTAAGAGTCTGACCTGCACAGTGAGACCCTGCACAAAAAAACAAAAACAAAACAAAACAAAACAAAACAAAAAAACCTGGACTTTGTAAAACTTTATAGCATGGCACTGCCTTGAATCAACCAAGAACCCTCCTGAGCAGCCCTTCCCACCCCAGTGCTCTCTCTACTCAGCATATAGCTTGTGTTTTTAAAACTAAACTGAATCACATCATCTGCCAAGCAACACCACCAAGGTTTCTACTTACAGAACCAGCTGAAGCCCTTCAGCACCTTTCTGGCCTGAAGGGACCCCGCCCACCGCCCTCAGGACCCATCACCCCCTTCTCAGGCTTCCCCGGCCACCATGGCCTTGCTCTGAGCCAACTCACAGCCTTCCGGACACTGCTCCCTCGTCTGCAGCGCTCTTCCGGGGCTTTCACACAGCTCACCCTTACCCTTCGGGTCTCATCTGGTGTCACATTCCCCAGCGGCCTAATGGCCATCTGCAGCACCACCTTACTTCCTTTTCTCTATACATCAACCTTTATCTATTGGTTACTATTCTCCTGTCCGATGGACTACACCACCAGAACCTAAGGCCCGTGTACTGTTCACCACCACAGTGTGTGGCCCACACTCATCAGTAGGTATTTGCTGCCATCGTTATCTCTAAAGAGTTTTCCCCTGGTGGCACACGCCTGTAATCCCACCACTTGGGAGGTTGGGACAGGAGAATCTACGAGTTCAAGACCAGCCTGGGGATACAAAAAAAGTGAGCAAGAGGCAGCCCGAACTGCACAGCAAACCCTATCTCCAAAGGAAAAGTTTTTCCCAGTAAGCTATGGAAACCTCTGAGTTGCCT